GTATTACTATATTTTTACCCTAAAACATAAGACAACAAAATCCATCCAGTTAAAAAGCATCAAATCCAAAGAAAGACTTGCCTGAAAGAACTCTACGGTTACGAATTCCTGTCCGAACAGATATCCACTGATCATTCGTATCAACAATTTTTGCAAGATCATCATTGGATACATTTAGAGATGGTACTGCAGAGCCACATCCTATTAGTTTGCAGCCCCTGTTACCTAGCCTGCACAAGCAAATGAAATATTGAGGTTAAAATGAAGAAACACAGATTCAGCTGAATTCTCTGACACATACTTGAGCCTGCTTGTTAAAATCAGAGTTCTTTGTCAATCTGTTAATAAAATGCACTGGGACGGCACTCAAATATAACAGAAGTGGAAAGAAGTGAACCTAGCTGGAACCCTTTTACTTTAGGTGAGTTTTTCTTTTTCATTATCTCCGGTTGGAGCCGATGAGGGAGCTAGAATTTGGCATAACTTGATAACTTCCTCTACAGGCTCCTTTTGACAAACAAGAAGATAAATCCCGAAGAAGAAATAAAAGGCCAAATTATACAACCAGGCATAACTATCCACCAAAAATTGTGCTTTCTCAAAATATAATATATCAAAGTTTTCGGAAGTGCCACCATTCTTCCTCCATCTCACTAGCTCAATTTGCAGGTTGTCCAACCATACTAAAAAAGCCATGTGGTAATTACCAAGAATTACACGTGACCAAATCTTTTTTATTAAAATGTTCTGAATAGAAATTCAGAAGGAGGTTCTTTATATTACCTCAATACTCGAGATTGATCCGTTGAAACCTTATCTGCACCTTCAACACTGCTGGAACACATAACGCTATTGAAGGTTCCATCAGAGAACGATTGCCTATCCTGATATATGCCTATAGATGGACAAAATTTCCTCCTTATAGCAGGCACTGCTTGCGTAAAGAACCTATATCATTGGTCATTTGCATGTATCAATAACTCAATAACCCTCGAACAAATAAGGCTAAACAACATAACAAAACAAAAGCAGCAAGTATGCTCAACATTTGACTTGATGATGTAAAAAGAGGGAGAACAGAGTATGAGAAGATAAGATTGTTGTAGACTTTATATATATATAACCAGGGTTGGAAGGGAAGAACTTACTTTTTTATATAACATTAAAAAAAAAAATCTTTAGCAGTTATTAGTATGGCAGTGACAGAACAGATATAAATGATTCACACACTTCAACCAAAACTAGTTCTGGATTGAAGCTTAGTTGTTGTGGTAACTATTAAATACAAATATTTCGCTTTGTCAGAACAATCAGAATCACATAAATACACAGTAGCAAATCTTCACTGCTTTGGGCTAATTCCAAATCTTTAGCTTGATTATAAATCTTGTTCAGATCTTTAGATCAGATATAAGGGTACTTACAGAGTATGTCCTTGTTGGTGCCGTAAAGTACTAACTCCAACCCTCCCAAATACTTGATGGCGGTGTTGCAATGAAAATGTAGGACCAGCGGCAATGGTGGTATTCGCCATTTGTAAATTCCTCAAACAAAAATTGGCTGTACCGATTGCTCTGCTTCACATGAAAATTCAAGAAAACGGAACCCCAAATAGGAAAAAAGGATAATATAAGAGAGATCAAGATGGCGATGAGAGAAATGATGAGGAAAAACAATGTGGGTGTCTAAGTATTTCCGTCCATCTGTAGAATCGAAAGCTTAGGATTCCAGCTCATAGATATCTCCGTCCTCAGGTCAAATGTGGATTCTCCGTATCTGTATTTTTCTTTGTTTTTCTTTTGAACTCACGATATTAATTAGGCAGAGCTTTTATGAACCTGCGGCTTCACTCACTCTATTTGGTTCAATTTGATTGGGTTCTCTAGACTTTTTCTTTTAACTTTTTTTTTTATCTCGACTAATTTCACAAAATATTATTTATTTATTCATTTCGATCAATAACAATTATTGAAAAACTATCATAGATGAAAAAAATTACTTATAATACATCTAAACCTTGCTTGGATGGTTGTTACTATTGTATTGATAGTTAAATATTATGTTTACTTTGATTGTTGCTTATATATTGTTTGAATTGTTGTTACGTATTATTTCATAATATATATATCAATATTTGAATAGATTGCACTGTTTTTTGTTGTTACATAATATCACACGTCGATAATTTATATGATAAACCTACCAGCAAAAATAGGACTTACAAACCTATTAGAAAAATAGGGTATACGGAATAGAATTACATTGAATAGGTAACGCAGAAGATAAAATAAATAATCAGTAAAAGATATAATGAAAATAAAAATATTAAGGTAACGACGCAATCACACCAAATTGATTGTGACATAAAATAGGTCTTTTCGTCGTTTTCTAACAATAGATTTAAATAATATGATACAATAAAATTTAAGTAACAATCAAAAGAAACATTGTATTTAAACTAACAATACAATACAACAAGTGACAACCATCCAAACAAGGTGTCAGAATTTATCATATCATTTCGCTAGATTCATTGTTAATAACGAAAAGTCACATTTTGTGTGATTGCGTATTTTTCTAATTTTCTTCTTTCTTGTTTTTTACTTTACTTATGATATAATAATCATATTGTTTATGTAACCTATTTTTTTTTATATTAGTTTTGTGTCAGTCCTCTATAGCTGGCATTAATTTTAAATTAGACATCTTAATTAGACTTTGTTTATTTTAGACAATTTATATTGAGTTTCGCTGTGTTATTTTGACACTTTTTGCTGACTTGATATATTGTTTGTGTTGCACCCATTTTCAGCGCGTAAGAATTTTTTAAAAAGAAATTACATTCTTCTTCTTCACTTTTTAGCCCTATCACTTATTTTACCTTTCCCATAAAATTTCATAATAGAAAGCTTACAAATATATGAAAGAAAAAAAAGTTTATAAGAACAAAAATTTTAAAAATCATCACACTAATTTTGAAAAGATTTCTTAGAAAAAGACACGCATTTGTTTTTAAGTTAAAAGAATGCCATATATAATGTTCAAAATCAATTAAAAAAATAATCTAAAATTTAATGATTTAAAAAAATGAAAGAATAATCAAGAAAATTGTTGTAGAGTTGGGAGGGAAAAGGGATGTAAAACAGACGAGGTACGGTTGGGGTGGGTGATATAAGGTGGGGCGGGATGGTAGAAAATAGGTAATATATTTATTTATTTTTGCTGAAAAATTAATTACTTTTTAATAATTTATTTTTAAATTATTATTTTTACATTCAAATGCCACATGTCAGCTTTTAATTAGTCATCATGTCATGTCATCCGCAAGTGTGTGTTACACACAATTTGTAATTATAGCTGATTGGCAAAAACATGTCAAAATGACATAGCGAACCCCTATTTGAGGTGTTTAAAATGAATAAAATCTATTTGAGGTGTCTAAGTGAAAAATGATGTCAAATTTAAGAAGCTGCCAAATAGATTCAGAGTACTTTTTTTAAAGATTTATTTTTAAATTATTGATATATGACATTATATAACAATATAAAACAACACAATCTATTTAACCATTATATTCACTACATTACAACATAATTTATATATATACTGATATAAAATATAATAATTATCCAACTTGTGCTTTAAATTTGAACAAGAATGATGGAGTCATGAAACTAATAATTGTCAAATCACTTACCAATAAATTACACTCTTGAATGTATTAGAATTATTATATATATATATATATATATATATATATTATATAGGCACGTAATTGATCTTCACATTTGCCCTCCGTGAATGAGTTTTCTTCAATGTGGGCCTAACAGCCTTACATTGTTAACCAATTATTTGAACTTTTTATAACAGAGTAAACACATAATTTCATAACTAGGTTTATTTTTTTTATCATTATTTATTAAAAGGAAAAGGCACAAATATGTTATCGAACGTTTAGAAAAGGTTCATTTATATTATCAGTTAAAAATTTGATCCATTTATGTCATTATCGTTTAAGAAAAGACTCATTTATGTCATTATTTTTTAACAGTAATTTTACTAAATTATTTTTGACACGGGGCTAATTATATTTCGATCACGTCATTAACTTTTTAAATGAAAAAATAAAAATTTGAACAAAAATTGAATTAAAATAATCCACCAGAGTAAAGACTCACCCAAATTTTAAAATATCCCAAATTTTATTTCGGCGGGTTATTTTAATTCAATTTCTGTTCAAAATTTTATTTTATTTTTCATTTAAAAAAATTAGTGATGTGGCCGAGTTATAATTGGTCACGTGTCAAAAATGATTTTGCAAAACAACTGTTAAAAAACAATGGCATGAATAAGTATTTTCTTAAATGATAATGACATAGATGAGCCAGACTTTTAACAGTTGACATACATAAATCTTAACATATTTAAGCTTTTCCTTTTATTAATCAAATGCTCTTCAATATGACATCGCAAACACTATTGGAATAATATTAAGTTGGTTTCATTAAATCTCCTTAATTTATATCGATGGCCATACACATAATATTCAATTCAAGTGAGTTACTTGGTTTTAATTGAATCACGAAAATTATTTTTAAAAAAATGTTATAAAATATTAAAGTGTGGATGTGCACTACACCAAGAAGTTACTCACCATTATCTCCACTATTTTCTTCATTATGAAGATGATCGTAACCTCCACCTTTGTAACCATTATTCTTATAATCTTTCACTTTCATAACCTCTTCATTATATTTAGGAAAATTTAGCTAACTAGTAAAAAAAACTAACTTATTTAATGATAATGTCCATACTTTAATAATATTAGGAAACATGTCAAAAATGTCATTATTTTAAAAAATATATTATTATTATTATATTATTAATATTTTCTCTCTCTTTGTTCACACCATTTTTTCTCTCTCATAAATTATATATATTCCTATATTTAAGTAATTAGATATAGACTAATTATATTTTAAAATTTCTCTCTCTTATATTATATGCATTGATTCCCGAATTTTCTCTCTCTTATACTAATTATATTTTAAAATTTCTCTCTCTTATATTATATGCATTGATTCCCGTATTTTCTCTCTTATACTAATTATACTTATTAATATTAAATTTATCACGTTCGCAGATTTTAGTTGGGATTTTAACGTTATATCTCTTACACTCTCTTTTCAGATTTTTAATGGGATTGTGTTGTCACGTTAACCTATATCTTAACCCACTTTAATAGATAAGTCAACAACTTCCAATGCATTATATTCACTTTTAATAATAAAATATTTTCTCTCTCTATAAAAACTCTTCTAATTCTTAGAAAAAAAATTTTATTTGGAATTGTTACATTATCTCTCTTACACTCTCTTTCTAGATTTTTAATTGTGTTGTCACGTCATATATCTTAACCATCTTTAATAGATAATTCAACAACTTTCAATGCATTATTTTCAATTTTATTAATAAAATATTTTCTCTCTCTCTAAAATCACTTTTCCAAAACTAATTATTCAGAATATCTTTTTTAATTTTCAACTCTTAATCTTCCATGATTTTTGTTTGAATTGCAGGTCATCTCTCTAACATTCTTCAACGGACACAACATCTTCAAAATCAATATATTCATATATCATCAAATCCCCAGATTCACGCTTTAATTTCTTCAAACCCGAATTTTCCTATTTTACATCATTCTCAAGTAATTCCGTTTGAACGTTTGATTTGGAGATTCACATTGTGTTGGTTATTATGTTCTTCATATTACTTTTTGATTACTTACTTATTTATTTTATTTTTTAATTTTGGATATTTTGTTGTTGTTCTTAAATTATTTTTTAGGGTTTCATAATACCAAATTCACTCTTCAATGGATGCATTCAAAAGAGTGACTAGAGGTATTATAAAAAAAAAAATCACAGTTATTCTGAGTTCCATAGTTTAATTTTTTTTCACTCAATAAATAAACAACAATGTAGGTTCATCATCTAAGTCTAAGGAGTGTGAAAAAATGGCTGAAGAGGTGCAACATTCATCTAAGTCTAAGGAGTGTGGAAAAATGGCTGAAGAGGTGCAACATCCCACAGAAATTCATGAAGTTGAAGAAGAACAATTTTTTGGAGAAGAGATAATTTTTTTTTTTTGCATGTGTTGTGTATTGCATGTTTAGTTTATTTTATTTAGTAATTTTTAAGATTGAAAAAAATACATTTTACAATGAATTTGAAAGTGTATTCGAAATGTTTAGTCTGTTATAGTCTCTGTGTATTTTTGTATTGGAATTTTTTTTGACTATTTATGTATTGTATTTTGTATTATGTTCATCTTTTTTGTATTAGTTGTCAATGTAATATCGTATACATTTGTAAGTGTGTTCTGAATTTTCATCTTGTTATAGTTATTTTTTTTCCATAGTTCTAATATTTTTTGTATTCACTATTATAGTTGGCATGTATTTCTGTATTTAATATGTTTATTGTATTTTTTTTGTCAATGTAACAGATTTTATAAGTTTGATTGTGTATTTACTATTATATTGAGTTCTGTCGATGTTTTAGTCAAGTATGTATTTTTGTAGTTCATAATTTTATTGTATTTTTGGTATACATATAATGGGAATTGTATATTGTATTTTGTATTCCATCTGTATATATCCATAAATTCGTTTTGTATTCTGTTTTTTTTTGTGTGTGTTAGTTATGTCACTGTACCACATATCTGTTACCATATGTGTTTTTTTTTGTATGTTGTTGTAACTGTGTTGATTTTTAATTTATTATCATGTTTTTTTGTTCTGTTATTTTAGTATTATTTCATTTTTTGAAATTCAATATGCGAGGGGACTTCTTATGCTTGCAAAAAGCTACCAAAAAATGCACCCCACATTCACTGTATAGTAAATCATGACATTAAATTCAAGTTGACTGACAAGCTTACACCGGAGCAGTATAATTATTTTTGTGAGAGTACGTGTTTTGGTCGATATATGAAAATTAGAAAATGTGTTGGGCAAGGTCAAATTCACAGGTGTTGTATGTCACTAGAAGTAGAAGCTAGTAGTAAGCTAGAAGTAAATGCTCTCATCTTTTATCTCTCTATTTCTATTGTTTTCATCTTCTATATCTCTTGTCTCATATTATTCTTTTCTTTATCTTTATATTACTAATTTGATTTAGTTTTACAACAAAAAATGTATTTTTTATGAAATCATGCTTAATTTTTGTCTTTATTTTTTATTTTTTAAAATACAAATACATTCCAAGCAACGTAATTTTTTACCTTCTTCCTTTACTCTATATTTTTACTTGAATCATAAAAAGCCTAATAATGACTATCGAATTGTTATTTCAATTTTTGTGTTGGAATAAAAGAGCAAGAAATATTTATTTTTGATCATGCAAAAATTGAATTCACCTTTACTCGAATCACGAAGGTTTGCAGTTGATTTTCATCAATTTGTTTCTTACTTTTTCTATTTTTTCAAGGCCATTCTTAATTATTATAATATATATATATTTTTATTTTCATGATTATTTGTCATAATCACCTAAGTCAAAATTTCGCTAAGTTCTATTCTAATTTCCATGAGCCAACAATTATATATTTTTTATATTTTGTCATCTTTGAATTAATATTTATTTATTTTTTGATGAATAACGTTAATAAGAAATTATTCAAGCAGGTGTGTTATTATTTGTGAACAATTTAAGAAGATAAATAAAATACAATATCAAAGTTCAATAGATCGTCGAAAAATGAATAGATAGAATAAAGAAGAGAAAAATGTTTGAAATATATTTGAACTTTGATTGAAATTGTTGAAACAATTTCAAATTTTGGAAAGGATCTATTACCGTTAAAGATATATATGCCCACGTGATAATATTAACGATCTCCACGTGGGCACTGATATGTCTTCCAACTACAATAATTTCAATTAAAATTCAGATATATTTCAAATCCTTTACAAATTCTTATCGGTCAATCATAATTTGTGAACATTTAAATTAACGTACACACTTTTTATGAATTATGTAAAATTTGCAAACTGTTATACGGGATAAGTTGGCTACCCATTGTTGGATTTTAAAAAAGGTGTGAATGGAAAATGAAGAGTTGCGACTTCTATGAAGAGTTGTGACTTTTATGAAATGTTGCGACTTTGATGAAAAGTGGTGACTTTTATGAAAAGTTGCAATTTTTTATGAAAAGTTGTGACTTTTATGGAAAGTTGTGACTTTTATGAAAGGTGACGACCATTCTGAAAGATTGTGACTTTTCCAAAGGTTTGTGACCTTTCCGGTAAGGCACAATAAGAACCTTTTCGCACCACCCTTTGTCTTCTATAAATTGAGGGATTTCCTCTCATTTTAAAAAAGAATTTATTGA